AAAAAAAAAAGCGCCAACACTGCTATGTGACCACAGCCAGGAGACAGGATGCAGAGAACAATGACAATGATGACAAGGAAATCAGAACAAGTAAACTCTTCCCAGATAAGGAAAAGGGCACAAAACACAGGCAGGACCAGGGCCCCTTCTTCCATGAGAGCCGGAAGCTTAGTGCAACTGTCTCTATGTTTATCAACGTTACTTGCACTCGTTTATGTTAAATGATGAAACCGTTCTAGGGAGCTGATTACAGAAGAGGGCAGCCCCCTGGCTTTTCGGCGTGACCCGCCCCTACCCTGCTCCCTCATTCTTTTTAGCAGAATCTTTGGTGTTAGCTCCGCCTCCGGATAACAGCCTCCTGGGCCGTAAGGGGATCAGCTTTACCTACTGGCTTCCTACTCGGGCAGGTGGGAGGGTAGTTTCCCCAGCCTCCCCCCACCACCTCTGCCCCCCTCCCCAGGCCCTGCTCATCCCCACACGTTCCCCAGACGGGCACACCGGCATTTCAATTAGAGCAATATTCCACGTTTACACAAATTATCATCCTGGAGCAAAGGCTATTCACAGCTGAGCCTTGCAGTTCACCGTAATTATTCTTCTTTCCCTGCACAATGGTTTATTTTCCCTGGAACTCGTAACAGTCTTGCGCTCTCATTTGCTTGTACTCATCCAGCCCCAGCCCTGCCGGCTGGCTTCATCCCCTCTCCAGATGTTGTAGAGGATCAGGCACCCTGTGGATTTCACCTGCTCCCTCCCCCCCCAAACTCTCTCCCGGGAGCCGGCTGACGGGTCAGGCCTGCTCTGCACACCTGCCGCCTCTCTACCTCCTCCGGGAAAGCCCCCTCTCCTCAGGCTCTGTCTAGACTCACCACCTCATCACGGGAGAGCATGCCTGTCCGTCACTCCCGTAAAGTAGGGACGCAAACTTCGGGGGCGTGTCTGCAAACATCCTTATTCCGCTCTCCTTTGCCTGAGTACAGAGTTCCAGGTGGAAAATGTTTTCCTTCGCAATTCTGAAAGCCATGCTCACCTGCTTTCCACCTTCTGAGGTTGCTGCGGACGGGTCCCCCAAGCACCCTGCTCCGTTTGTGATGCCCTCTTGGTGGCCTGTGTTTACTCTTTTTTCTAGAAGCCAGCACAGTCCTCTGCCCCAGAGCCCTGAAATTTCACAACAGCGGGCCTCGGGGTGGGTGTGCACATCTCTCTCTCCACCCACGCTCTCACTACCCAAATTCTGAAACCCACAGCCTCGGAGGCGTTTCCAAATACATCCCTTCCTTGTTTCCCAAACTCTCACTCGTTACTGTGGAAACGCGGCAACCCTCACTATGCAAACCCGATCCCTGTGATGCAAGGACCCACCCCGGGAAGGGAAGAGACAAGAGAGTGAAGGATACCTGCCTCCCCCCCACACCGCCCACCCCCAAGGCTGGCCACCTGGATGCCCCTTCCACACAAAGTTTTGGTTCTAGGACGTTCTCGTGCATCGTGCTGTGGACGGCCCCGTCCTATTTTCTGTTCTTTCTCACTGACGGGGATCATTCAGCTGTCAGCCTCCTGATTGGATCCCTTACCTTCTTCCTTGCTCCCGCTTCCCACCTCTGCTTTTCTGTTCACCTGCCTCAGTTCCTCAACTTTACCTTGCACGCACTCACTGAGCTTTCATTGCTCGCATTGTTTTCTATATCCAAGACTTTGCGTCTTGGTTCTTAGAGTGCTTCCCCTGCCTGTTTTTATGGGGCAGCCTGTTCCTGTCTCTTATCTGCATGTGCACGTCGGTGACAGGCGGCTTTCCCGGTCTCCTTCCCGCACGCTCTCCGTGGCCTGCAAGCGTGTTCCTATGCCAGAGGTAGGGCACCAAGAGAACTTGGAAGCTTTGAACCGTGGTGGGGGACGTGATCAATTATGAACTTCATTAGGAGGGGAACCTCTGACGTCACTACTGTTAGGTCCTTTCTCTGGAGCTACTCATACTCCCCAGAGACCCTTCCACCGTCCTGCCCGAAGGGAGCAGTGCCAGCCGGCAGTATTCTGGGAGCCACCGACCCCCTTCGCTTCATCCTCTTGTGTTGTGTATAGCAGGGCACACCCCCGCCCCCCAACTCTGCTGGGCATTTCCCGTTCCTCTCTGAAATATCCACAAAGTTCTCTAAACAGTTACAGAAACCGCCACCCCGGTTAGCGGCGGGAAGCACCGAGTTGCTGTGTCAGCCGGCGCTGGGCACATCTACTGGCAAGGGGCTGGAGAAGCGGCCGCCCCGGCTGCAGCCACAGACACTCCGAGCAGGTGTGAAACCAACTGCTGGTTTCTGATGAGAAAGAGACAATTAAAGAATCGAAAATCAGAGGTAAGCTGTGGTTTCTTAAAATGATAAACCAGCAGCATCTGCTTCAGCAGTATCATTCGGCAGATTCTCCTCCACAAGTGGCACTTGAGCCTCCGGATCTTTCTAGAACAGAATCACCCATCAGCCGTGGTGACACGCCTTTTTTCCACCACCTTTCCCTTCCTGGCGAGTGCTCCCCACTCTCTCTCCAAGAGCATGTCTCATCAGGAGGGCCCACAAACACCACGAATCCTGCGAGCCTAAAGGTCACACGTGCCGTGACGCCCCCTCCACACCCGCTCCAGCTCTGTCCTTCAAGCACCCACGTGAGAACTCTTGGCTGCTGGGGCATTTTTCCTTTCCGCTTCCCCACACCCCGCGCAGGCCATCACACACACGGTGGGCTCTCCCGTGTCAGTCTCGTGACCACCCCCCACCTCTGGCGACCTCTGTCCTCAAGTCATTCCCCCTACACCTGTACCCAGCCAGTCTCCAGCTCCCCGCACCCCGAGACTGCCTTCCACGGTATCGCTGGTGCTGCCTTTCTGAAACACGGATCTATCACCCAAAACCCCGACTGCCCCGTCCCCCTCACCGAAGGTCAGGGTAACAGCCCAAACTCTAGAACGGCATTCAAGGCTCCTCGGTAAGAAACCTCTTTTCAGCTCTAGCTTCCACCCCATTCCTCAATCCCCCTCTCACAATGAATGCAGGGACTTCCTGCCCCCCAAGCACCCCATTCACTTCCCTGTCTCCACACACCCTTCTGCCTCCACCTGGAATGTTCTCTCCAACCTTCACTCGTCCTTCAAGGCCCCCGAAGCCGTTATGTCGTCTCCACCATGGAAAACTCCAAGGCCAGAAAATAAACCTCACTGACCCCCCTTCTTCACGCTCTGCGAATAATTGCCTAGATCATCTACTGTGAGGCCACGCTGTACGATAATCAGTGTCACCATAACTGCCAGCAGCCAGCCCAACGTGGCATCTTGCAAATGATCAGGGGCTGCAAGTCTGCTGAAATGATGAGGCGGGCCCAGGGCGGGTAACGGGAGCGGGACCGCGATCAGTGCCGCGGGCCTGGAAATACCAACCCAAAGTCGGACCAACTACTTTGCCAGAAACGACACACCTTTGCAATTCCATGCAGACGCTCTCCGGATTCACAGCAGAGGCACGTTCCGGGGTCGGGTCCTAGGCCTGGCTATCACTACTGCGGGGGGCAGGTGCACCTAAGTGTATCAAACCAACTCTCGGTCACCCCGATCTTCCACAACGTGCAGTTGTACCTCAATTTTTACAAAATGCCCTAACATCCCCGTGTCCCCCCTCCTTTTTCACCAGACACCAGCCCTGACTCACACTCCCCACGCCAGATGTTCACGGAAAAGGGCGGCAGGGCGGCCGCGGGTGGGGGCAGGCGAGGACCCGCGGAGCCGCTTCCCAGGCGGCCCTCAGCCCGGACCCACACTTCAGGGGGCACTACCCTTAAAGATGCGTGTGCAGCGCACACCCCCATTCATGCCGGGCCTCCTGAGTCCCTCCCGAGTCCAAGCAGAAAGTAAATAATTTAATAAATCGCGGACACACTGTGGCTTGTTGTGCTCCGCGCCAGACGGAACCTCGGCTGGAGCCAACCGCCTGCCAGCGATGTCCCGGCGGCCAGGAGCCCGAGCTTTAGATACAAGTCCCTCTGTTAGCGGCCAGTGCGTGGCTTCCTTTCGCTGGAGAGGCACAACTGCTGTTTCCGAGCAGGGGATCACTGGAGTGGTCCGCCTCCAAGCCCCCCCACCCCCACCTCCCAGCGGTCGGCCTGGGGTCCCCGGGGTGGGGGTGGGGGCGCCCAGCGCAGGCCTAGCTGGGGTCCCCGGGGTGGGGACGGGGGCGCCCAGAGCAGGCCGAGCTGGGGTCCCTGGGAGAGGAGGGCGCCCGGCGCAGGCCGGCCTGGGGTCCCTGGCGGGGCTGCCCCGCGGCGACCCGCGGGAGGAGCCCCCGGTCCCCGGTAGGGGCGGCGGGGGGGGGGGGGGGGGGGCTCCGGCTGGCCCGGGGTCCGCGCGCAGGGAGCCTGCGAGGGCCCTCGGAGCACTGCGGCGTGAGGCCCGGCTGCGAGCACCGCCGAGGGCGCGGACCGGGAGCGCGCCTGCGGAGCACCCCACCCGCCGCCGCCCTGCAGCGCGGGGCAACCTGGGGCTCAGAGAGGCTGCGAGCCGGGCCAAGGTCACACAGTGGCCGGCGCGGGGGCTCGGCCCGGGGCCGCGGACCCACCGGGTGGGCTGAAGGAGGGAGCCAGAACCCGCCCGCCGCCCGCGGCCCGCACGCCGCCCAGCGCCTCGAGCGCCTCAGCTCACCTCACTTCACCTCACCTCGCGTCGCCGCCGCCGCCTCACCACCAGCCGACCCTCCCGAGGCTGTCCCTCCGCCGGCCCCGCCCCCCGAAGCCCGGAGCCCCGCCTTCCGCTCCACGTCTCGCGAGAAGTCGCGGCCCACGGAGGGGCCACGGAGGCCGAGGGGCGCACGCTTTCAACGCGCCTGCGCCCTCCGCACCCCGCCCCCGCCCTCCGCAACCAGTGCCGTGTGGCGCCGTATTTACAACCCGCGATCGGCCCCGCCCCCCGGCGCCGGGAGCCCGCCCCCCTCCCCAGCAGCCAATCCCGTTCTGCGGGCAGCGGCGTTGGCCCCGCCTCCAGCGGGTGGGCGCGCGGCGTGCGCAGGGGGCGGTGGGAGGGCCCCGCGCGGCGCCACTAACCTGTGCTTACCGGGCGCCTGCTGTCTATCGGCTCCTTCGCGACCTCCTCCGCCTGCAGAGCATCTCCGGCCGGGGCCTTGGGCGAGTGACCGAGCCTCTCCTGGGTTGTCCCCAGGTTTGTCGGAGAGGGTGGTGACTTCACCTTGCAGGCAGGTGCGAAGCGCCCCGTGAGATGCCCACTGCATAGCGAGCGCTCGCGATCCTTGCTCTTTGTATCCATGGCTTTTCCTTAACGGAGGTAATAGGTACGTAACAGGGTTGACCATCTTAGCCGTTTTTAAGTGTACAGATCAGCGGCGGGAAGTACGTTCACGCTATTCCGCAGCCTCCGCCACCATCCACAGGACGTTTCCACCAGTGATGGTTTCACAGCGGACTGCCTTCCGAGGGGAGGCTCTGTCTTCACTCTCTTCTTGCCCAGCAGTCAGTCACTACGGAGTCTCCACCTGCTGAGTCCTGAGACACAGAAGGGCCCTGCCCTCCCCGAGCTTTTAGCACGTGAGACGGCAAGCAAACAAGGAACCCGACCGCTCCTTTGCATCAGATTAACCGCGGTCAGGCCTCTCCCAGCATAGACACAAAAATAAAATCAGTATCCTTTGCCCATTCCAGCTATCGCTTCCTCAGCTAACACCTCAAAGCAGTGGGTGGTCTCTCTCCACAGTCTCCTTTTCCCTAAGTCCCCTTCACTCCACTCCCTGGGAAAGAGGTCCCCTTCAGCAGGCAGGCCGTGCTGGCACAGGGAAGGATGGCAGAGGGCAGGTGCACACCGGGAGGGATGGCCAGGACAGGTGCACACGGGGAGGGATGGCCAGGGCAGGTGCACACGGGGAGGGATGGCCGGGGCAGGTGCACACAGGGTGGAATGGCTGGGGCAGGTGCACATGGGGCAGGGGCACACAGGGAGCTGGGAAGACAGTGGTGACATTCCAGTTCTTAAGCTGGTGACAGGTGATGGATAGGTCATTTTACTAACAGGATTCAAGACTTAAGATACGTGTTTCGCCTGTGTGGTTTTGTGTGCGCATCATTTTGCTCAGCCTGTCATAACAGAGTACCACAGGCCACGAGGCATAAACGACAGAAATGCAATCTCTCTCCGTTCTGGAGGCTGGGAGGCCAAGGGGCTGCTTCCTTCAAGGCTGGGAGGCGCCTCTGTCTGGGGCCTCGCTTGTGGGCTTGCTGGCCGTCTTCTGTGTGTGTGGTCACATTACTTCCTTCCATCTCTGTGTCCACATTTCCTCTTTTGTAAGGGCGGAGCCACACTGCATGAGGGCCACCCTCATGACCTCCTTTTAACTTGATTTCCTTTGCAAGGATCCTGTCTTCAAATAAGGTCACATCTGAGGTCCTGGGGTTTAGTACTCCCACATGTCCTTTTAAAGCCCATAACAGTATTTATGAAAAATTATAGAATGAACTGTTTTAAAATGTTATTTCCCTTGAAACATTTATAAGAATGGTTACAGTAAATTTTTAAAAACTGGCAAAACCTAGTGCCAATGAAGAGAGTGCGCGGCTGGAGCCCTCCTACATTGCTGGTAGGAATGCAAAATGGCATAGCCCCTTGGAAAACAGTTTGGCGGGTTTGTAAAAAGTTAACAGTAACTCTACCAAGCAAACCAACACACACACTCCCGGGTATTCGCCTAAGAGAGATGGAGGCTGACATTTGCACAGAAGCCTGAATGCAAGTATTTTTAGTGGCTTATTCGTAATTGCCAAATACTGGAAAGCACCCAAGACTCCTTGAGCTGGCAAACGAACAGATAGACTGTAGGACGTCTGTACATCGGGACACTAACTCAGCAGTGAATACCAACTGGTGTAGCAACACAGGTGAACCTGAGGTGCGCTCCACGTTGAGCCAGCCTCAAGACTGTATCCTGCGTGATTCCATTTAGAGGACCTTCTGGACAAGGCAAAACGAGAGCGACAGGTGCTTTCCGGGGGGGAGCGGTTGGGGGAAGGGCTGAGTACGGAGGGGCAGAGGGAGGTTTCAGGGCTGATGAAACCGCTCTTTATCTTGATGGTGGTGCTGGTGGTTCCTGGACTGTGTTGGTCAAGATTCATAAAACTCTGCATTCAACAGGATAAATGTTGTCCTATATACGCTGTGGCTTCATTTTGAAAATCTTTTCAAATGTAGTTTTCTCCCCAGCCAAGATTTTCCTCCTTAGGAAGAAGGGGTACATAATGAAGATTTAAATGAAAGCATTCAGAGGTGCTCAATTAATGTTTCCTCCGGGCCAGCACTTCCCAAACGACGCCCTGAAATGGTGGCCTGCAGAGAGGGCTATAGGGTACCCCCCTGGATGAGATAAAAGTGTTCCCCGGCCAGATAGGAGCAGGAGACAGGTAATAAAATTTCAAAGGTTTAATTACAGCCAGACTTCTCAGACCTTTCACCAGAATAAGGTGTGGTGCAATTTTAAAGAGTGTTCCTGTGAGTTGCCTACATCTGGGGGGCTTGGAAAAGGTTCGTCTGAATTACCTAGACATTCAGGTGCCCAGGAACCACAATCTCACGCTACCAAAGCCTTCCTGGGAACTTGAACAACTCCAAGACCACGCGGGGAGTGCCAGGACTCAGGCTGAGATGAGACCACCCCTTCCCTTGAGCAAAATGGGGAGGAGAGAGGGGGAGCAAGACCATAATGTTGCCAGGTCCCCTTTTGAGGTGAACTGTGCCAGATCGAGCGAGAGGTCATGGTCGCAAAACACCGTGAATGTGCTAAATACCACTGAGGTGTTCCCTTTAAATTGGTTGATTTTTATCTCATGTCAGTTTCACCTCAATTAAAAAAAAAAAAACAAAAACAAAAACATAAAAAACCAACCCTCCGCCCAGTTCTCCCCTTAGCTGTGCACCTGCCCTCACTGAGATAGCCACACATTCTCTCCTTGTTCCCAGACGAGGTGGCAGAGGCCCAGAGAAGTGAACCAACTATCCAAAGACACACAGCGGTGTAAGAGGCAGAGTCAGGACCAGAAGCAAAGGCGGGGCTCCAGAACCAGCAACGGCCTCCGCTCCAGCCCCCCCAGCCCAGAGGGATCTGTGAGCAGGCTGGCTCCGCCCGGGGGGAGGACCTTCATCTCCCCCTCTTCTAGGCCCTGGCTGCCTTCAGGCTGCTGGACCCCAGCTGTCTGTCTGTCTCCACAGCAACTTGACCGGCCATGGCCCACCTTCGGGGACCGCGGACCCCCGTGCACAGGCAGCAGCCTCCCCAGGCTTACAGCCAGGCTCGGTGTCCGTGTTTTCGTCTTAGCTATCCCGGCGTCCCATGCTGCCTGCAATTCTTTCTGGTTTCATAACCAGCGTGGCCACAGAGAAAACAGAAAGGTAACTGTGGCTTGGCCAGGAAATGTCAACTGCCTGTGATAGAGGCATCAGGGAGATTCTGAGTGCTCCTGGGTGCTGGATGGGTGTGAGCACCAGGGAGGAGAAATAAAACAAAGCAGAGGCGTGAGTCACAGATTCAACCTGTATCTCTGCAGGCCACAAGATCTGAGAGCGGCCCCAGGAGCCCTGGTTCATCCTGCGTGCACGCGCCCTGAGCCCCACCCCAGTCTCGTCCCACTGTTTTGTTCCCGTGTCTTACTGGGTGGTGTCGGCCAATCCCGGGATGGTAGGGGCCCGGCTCTGGATGCTGGGGCCGTTTCCTAGCACCTGTGTGACCACGGTGGGTCTTCCAACCTCCCTGACTCCGTGGCCTTACCTGTATGACGCTGGAAGCAAGAACCCTCACCTCCTGCAGTGGCTATGCATATGAGAGAGAGGGTGTGTGCAGGGAGACCAGCCGGGAGGCTCTGCGGGGTCCTGACTGCAGGGTGGTGTGGGGGAGAGGCTGGGGGAAGAGGGTAGGCTTGGGACGGGCTGATGGAGGGAGGGGGCAGAGGAGTCAAGGGTGCGCTGCACCAGAGGTAGGAGATGCTGAAGAACATCTGGGGGCACAAATGCTGTGAACTTGGCTTTGAGCGTGCACAGCCAGAAACACCTGCCGCACAGCATAGGTGTTGGGGAGACAGGAGGATGCCTGCGTCTTGAACTTGGAGAAAGAGGTTCTGGCTGGAGACGGGACCATGGAAAGTGATGTCAGAGGCTGCCAGCACCCTAGGGGTCTGCCAAGCCCGATGCACCTCACCCCAGACCGGGTCCTGGCAAACCCTCTCTGCCGCCTTCAGCTTCACCCTCCTGGTCGCTGCGATCACCAATACGGGACAGATGCCACAGAGGCTACATTTCATTCAAGAGGCAGCAGAGAAGGAAAGGGGACCCTGGAGGGCCGAGGCAAGGGGCTCCTGGTTCTAGCTCACGGAGTCTGAGGAGCACTGGAAGGGTGAAACCCAGCCCCCCAATTCCACCTGCTAAGGGCTACCCTGGGGTGTGGACAGGAAGGCTGGGGACCCCTGGAGGGAGGGAAGTCCCCATCTGAGTTGTACCCGAGCCCTCATGGTCCCCACACAGGCTAATGTATGCAAAATCAGAAAGGGCAAGCCAGGTCAGGGAGTGAGTGCCCACCGGCTCTCAGGAGGAACCCAGAGAGATGTCAAACGCCCTGCCACCCCATGGCTTCCGCCACCCGTATGAAGGGCCGGTCCCTGCTTGCACACCTCCCAGCTCGCTCCTCTGGGCCACTCAGACTGTGTGCCCCTCTTCTGCAGGACGCTCCCCAAAGGGCTCTCCTTCCCTGCCCATCTGTCTCCGGGTCGGAGACGTGCTCCCCCACATCCCTCTCCTCTCGCAACAAAGCCTCGGAACAACACAGTAGTGAGCACGGGCTATTTCCAGCCAGGCCCCCTCGTTGGCACATCCAGCCTCTGCCCCGTACAAGACGCCAGGACCCCGGGCGAGTCAGTGGTCAGCGTCCACGCTGCAGGCAGGTGGGGCCGTTCAGAAGTCTTCATGTGCCCTCGGTCAGGCTCCAGGCCTCGACAGGACCTGCTGGTTCTCTTAGAGTTGCCGGAACGCTCACATCTCTGCCCGGGGCCCTCCTTTGCCGCTTTCCTAGCTTAGTCCGTTCGGGCTCCTATAACACGATCCCGCAGACCAGGGCGCTTATAAACAACAGATGTGTGTTACGCACAGTCCTGCAGGCTGGACGTCCAAAATCAAGGTGCCGCGTGGCCACATTCTGGGGAAGGCCCTCTTCCCAGTTCGCGGGCAGCGCCCTCTCGTCGTGTCCCCACATGGTGGAGACGACTGGGGAGCTCCCTGGAGCCTCTTCTGTAAAGGCACTGGTCCCAACCATTGAGGGCTCCTCCCTCATGACCTAAGCACCCCCGAGAGGCCCCAGCTCCCAATACCATCATTGCTGGGGGTCAGGATTTCAAAGTATGAATTTTAGGGGGACACCAGCTTTGAGGCCATAGCACCTCCCGAGTCCAGCGCGGGGTTCTGATGTTTACGGCATTACCTTATCAGAGCCAACAGCACCAGTCTGCCCCAGGGCCTTTGCCCGGTGCTCCGCTCTCCACCTAGGCTGCACCTCCTCCAGGAGGCCTTCCTTGACCAGCCTCTCCCCCAGCACTCTGCCCCTGCGGCTCGTTTTCATCAGAGCGCTTGCCATTCATTCTCTGCCCCACCTTCTTTAGAACGTGGGCTCCATGAGGGTCGGCTCGGCACGTGTCTGCCCAGTGGCAGCTGCGTCCTGTGCATCTAGTGCCTGCCACGTGGTCGGTGCTGGATAAATCCACAAGTGTCCAAAGAGTAAGCAGGGGGACCGGCGGGGCTGGAGAGAGAGGAGTCACTAAGGGTTTAGGCAGGGGGTAAACTACTTCCTGAATGACTTAATCCCTTCATCTATTTGATCCATGGGGGGGGGGGGGGGGCCCCTGTCTGCACCGGACCTTGGGGCATCCGTGCCAGCCCGGGGCTCCGTCCCGCCCCTCTCTATGCCCCCCCTCCCTGGATTCCAGTCTTCCTCCCTTCCCCACCTGGTACCCGGCACGATCTGGACCTCCAGCTGCCGGCAGAGGAGAAAGCTGACCCTCTGGGTCTCAGAGCAAACCTTCCAGGGAGGGCGGCTTAGTCGCGGGCAGCCCCAAGCTCCCTCCCTTCCCGGGAGGGGGCCCCGTGGAACAGACCCCGGCCGGCCTGCTCCTCACGCAGCGCACGCTCACGCAGGTGCACGCGCGGCCCTGACAGGGGCTCTGAGGACTTACCAGCCCCAGAAACTTGGGGCGGATCTGTCTGTGGAACAAAGAGTCCTTTGCGAGGGGTAAGTCCCGGCACTTCCTCCCAGCCCCGTGACGCCTCTGACCAGTGGCTCTGGCTTTGCAAACTCAGCTCCAGGTTTTGTCTTTGTGGCTTGGGAATTCTGCAAGGAATCATTCCCATCTACCACATTTGCATACGTTACATAATTGTCGCCAAATAGACATAAACACATATTATACTTACTGTTCTGAACCTTTTTCTCTCAGTTGGTATATTTCAGAGAGCTGCCCACACCAGGGTATAATGGAACTACCACTGGTTTTAAAATAATTCCTTTTTTTTTTTTTTTCACATTAAGTCATGCAGGAACGGGGTAAAAAATCCAAATAGGTAGAAAATCTATACAATGGACAGGGGTGTCCTGCCTACTTGCCCCCTCAAGTCCCTCACTGTGACCTGTTTCCAGGATTTCCTTCCGAGGCTGTTCCATGAAACACGTACGGGCGAGTGTAGACACGTAAGCGTGCAGATACACACATATACATCGACCAGAGTCTCACAAGGTTTTGTAACATTGAAGGACTCTTTCTCCAACATTCTCATCGCTCACCCATCAGCTTTCAGCCCACCTTCGCCGAGCAGCTGCGAGGCACCAGGCACGAGGCAATAGTGAGACACAGTCGGGTTTGTCCCCTGCTCACGAACATGCTGTGACTCCCTGTTGCCCGGCATATCCCGCCTGGCTTCCGGGGGCGACAAGGGAGGAGGCCGCACACCCTGGGCTCAAATCCCAGCTCAGCCACCGAGGGTAAGTAATCAAGCCGGTGCTACACCTCCCTGGGCCGCAGGCCGGTGACAGAGGCTTGCAGTGAGGCTAGGTGCTGGGTAAAGCTTCCCGCACCCTTGTTTGACATCCTGTTAGTTTCAGCGCCCGCGTCTCCTCGGCTGGCCATAGTGTGCGTGTGCACATCGGCACGGCTCACGGTGCACCCCACGGGCTCCCACCACACACGGATGCCGCAGGCCAGGGCCCGGGCTCCGCGCCTCCGGCCGTCAGTGCAGCGCCCCCACCCACCCATCACTCGTCCGCTCATTCCGCAGCCATCCCCAGGCACCTGCTCTGGGCCAGGCAGGACAGACCCGTCAGGCAGGGCTTGTTCCCAGGTGCCGAAGGGGCAGCAGTGCGGACACGTGCAGAAAGGCAGTCGTCACCTGGTGGGTTGGTGCGGC